ACCGGCGTGGCAGATACGGGGCTGTGCCCCGGTGCGGGGCTGCGTACAGATGAGGGGAGCACAGGTGTGGGGTCGTGTGACAGATGAGGGGTTGTCGGGACACAGGTGCAGGGGTGTGCACAGGTGTGCGGGGGCTGCACACAGGTGTGGGGGCACACACCCCTCTCAGCAACGGCCCACAGTGGAGCACCGCTCCTCTCTGTTCAGGGTCACCCCAGGGAGGGAGAGCCCACAGCCTGGGGCTACATGGAGGCCTGGCTGCTGCTCCGGCGTGAGGGTGGCCTTGCTCACCCTTCCCACAGAAGCTGAGGCCAGCGTCTCCGGTGCCACGTGGCCACAGAGAAGGGTGCACGGGCAAGGCTCTCCAAGGGGGGGAGGCTTGGCCCACGGGATGGGGGCCTGGCTGATGTGCTCAGGACACCCTCTGTGTCCGCCTTATCTGCTCACTCCTTAGTCCAGATGGGCAGGTCCCCAGTGTCCACCTGAGGTAGAGGACAAGGCCCCAGAGGGCAGGCCACCTGGCTTTGAGGGATGTCAGGGCCTGGGGGCAGTAACGAGTCCTCCAGAATACCCCGCCATCTCAAAGCTACGTCTGTTCTGTGGCGAGTCGATAGCGTGAATGTGGCACTAACAGATGCGGTGCTGAACCCTCACGTCCTGACCGACAGAGAAGGGACACCGTGAGACTCACCACACAGTGCAACCCCGACACCTCAGCCCTGCAGCTCACCTCTCTAGCAACGCTGGCCCCTCGGGGCTGCAGCTCCTCTGCCTCGGGGTGAAAGCAGGCCCCCTCGCTGGAGCTCTCTGAGCTGCCCGGCCTGGCAAGGGTCTCCTCAGAGCTCAGGGGCCCACCGGCCCCCACCGGGTGGCCCGGGCCCTCCTGGTCTGGGGACACCTGGAACATGGCACCAGGCATCCTGTGCTTCCTGTACTTTTCAGAGACCGGCCAGGGATGTGCCATCTTCTGTGTCGACTCGCTGGACTTCCGAGAAGCCGTGGCTGAGGCATCCACATCCGTGGAGTCTGTCGGGCAGGAGAGAAGTGGCCTCGTCAGACAGACCCAGCCCAGGCCCACAGCCCTGCGACTTTGCAGAAGGCACCCATGTGTACTCGTGTGCATGTGAGCATGTGTGCGTTGTATATGTGGGAGCATATGTGAGATTCTGTGTTCAGCTGTACAGCATCACCTGCACTCGGCACACCCCGTCCCTGAGCTCGTCAGCGCGGCCTGAACGAAACCCAGGATCAGTGGGTTCCTGAAGGAAGGGGCCAGGTGCACTCACACCAGGTGTTCTTTCATGCCACTTGACATACATTATCCTCCTGGCTCATTTATTAATTTCTCTCATCTTTGATTTTTAAAATGTAGTGTTTTTCATAACCTGGGTCCCTGTATTTAAAAGAAAGCATGTGTACATAAGAATGAGTGTGAGTGTGTGCGTGAATGTGTGGTCCATGTGTGCATGCGAGTGTAACTCATGTACATGTGTGTGCATGTGGTGCACACACAC